AAAATTGCCATAGCAAGATTGCTATAGCACGATGGAAAGAGACATATATAATGCTCAGAGTTCATTTCTCAATTGTCGAATTTGATGGGTTTTCTTTGAATACTTTCACTGATTTTTCTAACTGCTCTTCTGACGCAAATATTAAACAAGAAAAATCAATACCAATCAGCAAAGCATGCGGAAAAGAAATTTATGTAAATTACACGTTACGCCGTGTATCTTGCGAAGCAAACGCGCGTCGTGTGCTCGTTTTGTGCAATTACACGAGTTCGACGTCAGTTAGATGACCAATACTCTCACGAAAGCTCTCGAGTTATTGTGAATATATATAATTAACTCTTTAAAAGTGCGTTTTTCTGGTCGATACGTTTTTCTTGCACACAGCTCATTTCAATTGATATTTGCGCTTCGCGACATTTGTTACGCGATAAATCTGCAACTATATAGTTCGACGGTTCTGCTTTGATACGTCTATTCATAATCAACCAGCTTCACGACATTACATAAGAGCGAATATATCAAAGTGTATAGAGAATATCAGTTGACGGAGCGCAGAAGTCGCTCGTTACATCAGCAGAGCGATTAGGGACAATCGCGAAAGCATCGGTCGCGCCTCAGGATGTACCGTTACTCGGAAACCGGTCGAACAATCGTGGCAGACAGGTAAAAATAGGCGGTGTGGCGAATTAATTGCCGCGCGAAAGGAGCGGCGGGGCAGCGTGAAAGCGCGATTTTGTCTTACTTAATTCATTGTTTTTTTTCTTCCCCTTGCACAACCGCGGACTTCGCGCGCGCTTACGGCTGCAGTAAGTCGTCTTACGACAGCGCCGTCACCCATCCCGCCCGGTATAATGAACAGCCGGAGTCGCGCGAGGGCGAGTCGTTACACGCCCGCATTATGCACTCGCTCTAAATGACGCGACCGAACTGCGTGGCACGACATTGCCTCACCGTCTCATTGTCATCGTCACGGCAGGCATTCACGCGACGGTTCCTACCGGACGCGCAAGTGGACCTCCTCCACGGCGAAGATTCAGAAATCTTTTACTTTCTTACACTTTTTTTGCTAAAATATATGAACATTTTAAGAAGCATTTTAGGAACATTTTAGAAATCTAGCGCGCTTTATCGCATATACTCATTAAAAAATTTAGCGCAAATTTTATGATTGAAATACACAATGCATCTTCTCAGTACAAATTAAATTTATAGTTTTCTATATTATTTATTTAATATAAAATATAACATTTTATTTACTCAAAGATATCAAAGTAATAGCCAATACAAGCCGACACGGATGTTGGTGCGTATAAAAATTTTATTGTTATATTCTTCAGTTCCACACAAACTGCGCGCTGCAATTTTCATCGGTCTTAAAACACAGTTCCTACATAAAGCCGGAATCCACTATAATGAATTAAATTGACAAGCAATTTAACATCACTGATGCTAACAAGCATCTATAATATAAGAATTTCTCTTCCCCAAAAACCTGTAAAGAATTTGCGAAAAATATCACCTCAGTCAGGATTCTACCAGGATTTTACTTATTATTAAAATATATCTACGTTATAAAATCTATACATATCCTTTTTATCTTTGTGTAACGTTAAGTAGCGATTCTAAAATAAATTTTCAAATCTAAGCCCGTAATGAGATACCAAGCTTGATTTTATATTTTTAATATTGTTTTGCAAATGATGAATGCAAAATGTATGAATTATTGTGCAATCCTGTACAACACGGAAATATACTCTATACCCATTAAACATAATCAAAATTGAAGTGTGCATCAATAAATAGTGCCTCCGACAACGCGGCGAATTACAGACTCACCCAGGCGATAACTTGTTGCATGAAAAATTCTTACATGGACAAACGGATATTACTTACGGTGCTGGTCCAGTAATAAATCGTTATTTCGTCGATTGGCGGATAAATTTCGTAGAATCGCCGTTACGTGCGGGCATTGGCAAAACCACGCAACGCGGTGGTGTAGCGCACCGCATGACTTTCATCATGGCATAAATCATTCGGCAGAATGGTATTTCTCGCGGTGCGTTACGGCCAGCGATACGGCCGGAAAACACCGCTCCGCGGCTTCGACGTCCACGCAGATCGACATCGAGCGGACAGATCGGCAGGCACTCGTATCAATACGTGCCCCGTTACATCACTCGCACGTATAACACGTAACGATTCCGATGGAAAAAAAGATTAACGAGCGTGTACGGCGCGCATTTGTACCCCCGATGCAATTTCGCGGGGTCCGAAACGCGACCGATCGCTAGAATTGATCGCTCGCATTAAGTCATCCACGTAATCATAAATTGAATCAAAATAAAACAATCCAGAGTTATCGAGAGCAAACGAATAAATATAAAATATATAGAAGGATTCCATTGATTATGGAAAAAAATAATTTGTGTGTTTAATATTTTGATTAGATTCAGATTTATAAAATATTATTTTTCTTCCAAAGTTAAAGGCTTTAAATATCTTTAAATAATATCGATTAAAATGCAAAATTTTGTTTCTTCTATGTTATTATTAAAGCCTTTTAGTCGAAACTAGTTATACTCCCGAGTTCGTTGAAAAGGAATTATTTCGTCATTTTTTTTACTGTACTTATAACTTTCGCTTTTAACAAACACTTATATTGCACATAATATAAAATGCTAGTGATACGTATTCAAGGTTATTGCAGAAATTTTCGCGGTTGTCTTAACGCTGCGAAATCATTACGATGAAAGAAAGCGGCTCGCATAAAGAAGTAACAGAATAGTTTCGCTTAGGTGTAAGAACGAGAGGAGATGTCGGTGCCACCGCAAAAAGAAGCGGCACAAAGTTGTGTTCCAGTAATAATCGCGCTAAACTCCTTGTTGCTAGGTATTGGAAAACGCTAGTTTCTAGCCGACGAAGGTCATGAATTTGCGACATTGATCCGTAGATAATTTTTTGTATGAATTGCAATGTATTGCAAAATGCATTAAACTAAAATGTTTGATTTTTATACAATTTCTGTTTTGAGACAATTACTAGAGAAATTTAAAATTTGATAGAAAGTAAATGTAAAAAATTTGATTCAAATGATTTAACAATTTCAAACTCGTTATGTTGTCGAATTTTTTCATTGTACAACTATTCGAACGAGAATTGCGAATAATCGGTAAAGTATGAAATATTAGACGTCATGTCTGAAAAATCCCACGAGATAAATCTCAGACAGCTCAGGCTGATCTTTACTAATAGCGCATTCTATCGCAGCGTGCCTTTGCTGACTTGAAACGTGACTACAATACAGGAAAGTTTGATCTTTTTTCTTTCGATTCATAGAATTCCGTGTCGAAGAAGCTGATCTGATTTAATGCAATAGCGAATTAATAAAGGTACTTTCTGAAAATAACAATATCCAATAGCAATCATCCAATTACATAGATATCAAACTCAGATATCTAAGTCTCCAGATATAGATACTATGTATTATAAAAAAGTTATATCTGTCAGATTTACACGAGATCTAATTTTTTAGAATTTTTAATTTCTAATTAAGACTCTTATCGTGACTCTTTTGAAGAAACATGTTTTTCTAAAAGTGGAAATTAAATTTAATGCAAAAATACGGTTAAGATTTAATATACTTATTTATAATAAATAAAAGTTAGAATGTGTAAAGCCTGTGTTGGTTTTAAAATATTGTGAACGAGTGCGGCTCACAATATCACTTCGCGACTAAGAAGACGCATAGGATCTCATTACAATCGTTTGTGTACCTCTCTAACCATGAATGCAATTTTATACTCGCACAAGAATGTCGGGACTTCATCGAACTTTCACGTCTCGTATTCAAGTGCACTTATTCGACTTAATCTAAATCCGATACATTGCGAAAAACTCAGCTTTCTACTCTACTCGAAAATAATATTTCCGCTCCGTGAACAAGAATATTATAGATTTTCTATTCTATAATATAGATTTTCTATTATATAATATAAATATTCTAAGCTGCAATCGATCGACCGCGAATACACGAATATTGCGCGACTGTAAATCGCGATGGAAAACTTAGAATCTTTTGCGTTAGATTTTGTACTTATTGTTAATTATTTTTGTATTAGATTCGCGTTATTCTGAAAATATTCTATACGGATATTCTTCTACGTGCTTCTCGATTCCGATATGTACGATAGCTTTTCATGAATCGCTGGAAATTGAAACTCTATTAAACGTAATACGTAACGAGTTGAAATTACTATAGTCAAACTTTTTCCTGCTACCTCTGCCCATATCGACTGATCGATGCCGGAATAGAATCAGAAAGACAGCTCGTAATGATAGAGTTACGACATCGCGTTCGTATAGCTTACGACAATGTAATGATATATCACACGACGGTTGTACAAAATTCGCAAGTAACAAGGAACTCACTATTTCGCAAGTTGGAAATCCAGTGTTTCACGAATAGTCGGAATAAATGCTTAGACACGAGTTCTGCTTTATATCTCCGTCGCTGCTTCTCATTTCAGATTTTCCTGGAAAGCTATATTCTAACGTAATCAACGTTAATTTATCTATGAAACGGACAGAACTAACAAACCCTTGCGTCTTGCAAGTTATTGCTAAATTAAGAAAAGGCAAAATTTCTCAAAAATAATGCCCTGTAATCGTAAATGATTGTAACGTTAAAGAAAATATTTAAAAAATATTAATGACGTTTATTTTTATCTAATATTTAAAACGCCTAAGTTGTTTTTAATTTCACTACATCACGGTAACGATTGAATTTGAATAATCTTATGACGACAATGTAAATTCACACACATAACTTACGTGTGTATAAAACGCATATTAATAGCATGTAAAATGTATCTTACTTGGACTGACCTGCTTCTTGCACCGACTAGATTTTAATCTATTTCCAATTGCTTCTTATTTAATTGAACGCTGATCAATCTCTCACGAGCTTTCGTTTTTATTCGAATGTCATATATTTGTTGCAGGTCAAATAACAATAGCGGATCAGTCATCGTCGTCCTCCTTTTGGAATCCCACCCTCAAAACCGATATATTCTCTCAGGACAACAGTGCAACCTTCTTCCCTACGGCCCATGGCCTGGTGCAGACTCACCCGAGCAGCGGCGTGTTCCGGAGCGGTTTCGGCGGGATCGACAACCTCGGTAGCCGAGGGGTGACGATGAGGCCGCCGCGGACGCGGCCTCTCGATTATACGGAACGCGCCACCGCCGAATTGCGCCGAAATCCGTCGCTCTCGTCGCCCGACGAGTGTGCTCGTGCCTGCCGTGAGAACGAGCCCCCCAGGATATGTTACTATCACTTCACACTCGAGTCATACACCGTACTCGGCGCGTAAGTACAGTCCTGAAGTTTCTCGGAATGATTAGCTCCTAAAGCTTTAAGTATTTCTTTGCTATAAGTTTTTATATTTGTAAATTTATAACCATAAAGTAATAATAAGTGTACCATAATAAATTTTGACATTATCAGATTGGCCAGAAAGTCTTTTTGCTATTTTATGCGAAAAGGGCGACTCAAAATACGAAAAGATTTTCTGATCAGCCTAATACTTTTACTATTTTTATAATATTGTGTATTACTACTTTTATTATTTTCATATTTATGATATTATTTTATTTAAACTATTAATATTGCTTTTTGTATGTATAATTCGCAAAATATTGAAATAATAACGAAAAATGAAATAACAATTTTTGTAAAAATAAATTGTAAAATCTTGGAAAATCTTTCTAATCGAGAAAAAATATAAGCATTTGTTTTTGGAAAACAATGTTCATTATTAATAATGCTCTTATTAATAAAAAATATAGTTGATATTGAATTTTGCTCTGCATGTAGAATGGCAATATTTTAAAATATAAGAATTGTTTAACTTTCTTCATCAGTATGTGTGCGTAAACTCGTCATAAATTTTCAGAGCGTGTCAAGTATGCACACCGAACGCCACCAATTCCGTGTGGAGCGAGTGTCAGTGCGTTTTGGCGGACGGCGTGGAGCGGGGTATCATGACCGCGAACAGAATGATCCCTGGACCGAGCATTCAGGTTTGCCAGGGTGACAAAGTCGTTATTGACGTGGAAAATCGTATAGTAGGAAACGAAGTCACGCTTCACTGGCACGGCGTATGGCAAAGAGGATCTCCGTACTACGATGGTGTACCTTACGTGACCCAGTGTCCCATTCAGGAGGGTAATACATTCAGGTACGCGATTTTACTCTTAGCATAAAATTTATATTTTTTATAGAACAAAAGTTGGGTGATTTTTAATTATATAAAAACTTTTAATTATCGTAAATTGCTTATGTTTAATAAAAAGTGAGCAATTCAACAAAATAAGAATACATTTTATTAAATTTACCATAATTCGACAAAACTTAAAACTTTTTCTGATTATCCTAGAATGTAAAAACTTTATATTGTTTTGAAATAACATGTAATAATTAATTATCGAAGAAATATCTTTATCAATGTTTTTCAAAATTTGAATTTAAATATATGCAACATACGCGAATTAATATACTATAAAATACACACATATATGTTATAAACATATATATATATTAATAAGTATATATTTTAAAATTTATACAATAATTTTATGTGATTTATAAAACAAAATAATATATGGCATAAAAAGGTATCAATGGACAGCCGGAAATGAGGGTACACATTTCTGGCATGCTCACACTGGCACGCAAAAGATAGATGGTCTCTACGGAAGCATAATAATCCGACAGCCACCGAGTAAGGATCCCAATAGCAATCTGTACGATTATGATTTAACCACGCACGTGGTACTCATCAGTGACTGGTTCCACGAGAGCGCTGGCGAGCGTTTCCCCGGCCGCCTCGCAGTCAACGTTGGTCAAGCACCAGAAAGCGCGCTGATCAACGGGAAAGGTCAATTTAGGGTACGTCTCGCTCACTTAATATATTAAATAATACCGAATAGAGTCGAACAATATTATCTAACATAGTTAGACAAGCACATTTCAATTTACAATTTATGATAGAAATTTTTTCAAAACAGATTTATATTCTTGGATATAAACAAAGTTGCGAATAAAAATTCATTTTTTTTCAGATATTTAAAACAAGTGAATTTACTATTGACAAAATAACTATTGGCAAAAATTGATTGTGCATATTATAATTACTGAACTGATATTTTTCACTTTCTAATATTTTGTTGCATTAATATAGCTTGTATTATTTATTGCAGGATCCTAATACCGGTTTCATGACAAACACGCCCCTCGAAGTGTTCACGGTAACTCCAGGCCGCCGTTACCGATTCCGATTGATTAATTCCTACGGATCAGTATGCCCCTCCCAAATTTCAATCGAGGGTCACACTCTCACGCTTATCGCTACCGATGGCATAGCAGTACATCCAGTACCAGTTAACACTATAATTTCATTCTCAGGTAAAGCAATTAATTCAAATTCATTACAAATTTTTTACTAAAATTAAACAATTATTGAATAAATTATTTATTGCGAGACACTTGAAAAACAAGTAAAAGAATATTTTAAAAAATCATGACCTTTCTGATATTAAAATAGTTAATTACAAGTTACGGAAAATAAAATATATTGAAATACAATAAATTTATGAATGTATATGTACTAAATAATAATATAAAATGTTAATTAAATTAATTAAATTAAATAATTAATTCAGTTAAATGTTTAATTTATAAAAATTATATTGAAAATAATTATTTACGACATATTAAACACTCCAGTTATTATACACAATCAGCGTCTTAATGATGCATTCTACACACGGCCAGGAGCCATAAGTTGATTCGATTATCATCCCGCGACAAATGTCGTATACAATTTTACATTCTCTCTTAGGTGAACGTTACGATTTCGTCATAAATGCCGATCAGCCTGCCGGCGCTTATTGGATTCAGCTTCGTTCTCTCGGAGAATGCGGAAATTCACGAGCACAACAGCTGGCTATTCTACGATATGCTCGAGGTCCTTATCAACCATCTACTGCACCACCTTCCTACGACTTCGGTCTTCCTCAGGGCGTTGTAAGTATATATGTATATGTATTTCTTATGAAATAATATATAAAGAATAAAAAAATATAAAGAAGAAATACGAAGAATTATCAAAAGCGTGCATGCCGTATAGTTTTTTGTTTGACGATAATTAAGGACAATATTAAATTTTTCACATAAAGTTAATTGTAATTCACCCAATTTCTGTGATCTTACGAAATCTTATCAGCACTGCCATCTGTGTGAATGAGACAAGTAGAAGAAACTCGTACATAATTTTCAAAAATAAACTATAATTTTTTATTTAGATCTATAAATACTATCTATACATTTCTCAATTAAGATATCAATTTTAATACGATTCATATATGAACAAAATGTAATAGGATGTAGAAAGATCTGAATCGAATGTGTTATCTTCAAACGATACAATAGAAAGCTTTCCAATCAATATTAGTTAGGGTAGGAATGATGTGTTAAAAAACTGTAGAAGAAAAAATTCTGATAAATTTAAATTGAATTAAAATCCCTTCAAATTCGATACATTTGTATTAAAAAGAAAATTGTTGAATGATTGTAATTAAATATAAATCTTTGAAAGAATTAGTGCAAATATTATAAGTGAAAAAATAACAAGTTTTACATTTTTATAGTAATGCGCATCGTGTTTTTAAATATAAAATGTGAAAAAAATAATTTTGTATAATGTAAGATTAACATATTACATTAACATAAACAAGATTTTTAACTGTTAAACTTAAGAATGCCTCTTAATAAATTAATGAAGGTGGCAAAGAGCGAACAGAGCTTCAGAAATCTTTTCTTGTCAGGTCCTGAATCCTCTGGATGCCATTTGCAACCGACAGCGCGAGGATGCGGTTTGCGTGAGCCAACTAAAGAATGCCCACCACATCGATAAGGGTCTTCTGCAGCAACGCCCTGACGTGAAGATCTTCCTGCCGTTCCGCTTCCTGTTCTACAGACCAGAAGAGGTCTTCCAGCCACAGACCTACAATCGCTTCCTGGGTAAGAAAGCGCTAATAGCTGTCTTAATTCGCAAAAAGGAAGCAAACGCATCACGCGATGATTGCGCTTGATTTTCGCTTCGTGTAGGAACAGCACTTCTCAGGTTTTCTTAGAAAGATGTGCTCCCTTAAAAAGGGATACGACCTTAGACACGCGTTGCATGCAACATCTTCGGCGATTTCTGAAGCTAAAAATAAATAAGAATTAGAGAGAAGGAGAAGTAATCCATTAGATACTCCGCGAGATACATTTGCTATATATAGATATGTATATATATATATATATTTTTTTAAACAATTTTTTAACTCAATAATATTTCAAAACATACAGGACATTTTAGAATCATGTTTGTTGTGTTTTTCTTATTAATTTAAGAATTTGAAATTTTTTAACAAAAATATTGCAATTTTTTGTAAAATTTCGTGCAAGTTTCTAACTCTTTCGTTTCATTTAACTCATTTAACATTTACTTAATACACGAGAAATATATGCGATTCACTGTATAATTCCGATGTGTCCGCAGTTGCGCCGACCGGCGATCACGTGATTTCTCTCGTGGACGAGATTTCGTTCACGTTCCCGCCGTCGCCTCCGCTCTCGCAGCTCGATGACATTCCACCCGAACAATTCTGTAACGGTGATAATAGGCCGGCTGATTGCGGCGCCAACTGTATGTGCACGCATCAGGTCGACATTCCATATAACGCGGTCGTCGAGGTGGTACTCGTAGACGAAGGTATGAACATCGCATTCACTATGACTGTTATACTCGCTGTCTTCACGCAGAATGTTTTCAATGTGGCAATAAATAAAAAGATATACTATACAAAAAAGAATTCTGTTAAAAAATGCACAAAATTTCAAATCTTATATTTTTGATCTTAATTTCTTTCTTATATTGCAATAATACAATTTTTTTTTATAGTAGAGCATATTTTTAATTGTATTCATCTTATGAAGCTGTGTATCTTTTCTAATCCTTCGTTATACGATCGATTTACAGTACAACAGCCAAACTTGTCGCATCCCTTCCACTTGCACGGATATGCGTTCAATGTGATCGGTATTGGCCGCTCTCCCGACAGAAATGTGAAGAAGATCAATTTGAAGCACGCTCTCGATCTCGATAAGCGTGGTCTCCTGCACAGAGAGTTCGACCTGCCCCCCGGTAAGGACACCATCGCTGTTCCCAACAATGGTTACGTCATCTTCCGCTTCCGCGCGAATAATCCAGGTAAGTTAACGAGGACAATTGAAAACTTTTCGCGCGATAGTCCGACGAGATGCAAAGCGGTTTCCGTTCGCGGCCGCTCGCATAATTGCGAAAGTTTGCACAGCACATTTGCACGCACTGACCTACCTCTGTCGTGTATTTTGTCCTTTAGACTATGTCTAAAGTATCCGGTCAACTTCAAACTAACTTGCTGAGGGATAATTTTTCGTAAATAATTCGGTTAGATGACAAAAGCTATTAACAAAATTATTTTCGTCTAGTAAAAATCAATTGCACAACGATAAAGAAAGTTTGTAATGTTTGAAGTAGAATACACACATTGCAAAATATAATATATATTGAGATAATAAAATATTGGAGTTGATACCAAACAAAGTTGTTTCTGATCAAAGGTTGATATGATATTAATAAAATGATATTAATGATTATTACTATAACAGTAACTTTGCAATCAAGTTTTCAACGATAAAATTAATAACCCTTGCTTTTGTTAAATTACGTAATTTACCAAAAAGGGCCGTTATTACTTTGATTATGAATTTCATCGTCGTAGATGATAAAATTATTGCAATATAAAACAGTCATCGTAATCAACTCCAGGAGTTTCGATATTACAAGCAGAAATTAAAACCGAGTTTCTTTATAGGATACTGGCTGTTCCATTGCCACTTCTTGTTCCACATACTGATCGGCATGAATGTGATTCTGCATGTGGGCACGCATGGGGATCTGCCGCCGGTACCACCGAACTTCCCGACCTGCGGTGACCATTTGCCGCCCATTTCGCCACCGTTGTCGTTGACGAACTCGCTGTTCCATTAACGCGTGAGCTCAGAAACTGCGAGAGAGGGAGAGACGCTCCAAAGTCCATACGATACTTGTAGCATATTCCTGTAAAGTAGCGAGCCTGTAATATCAAGATTTCTTTTTTTTTTCAACTACGCAATCTCGTCGGCCGTTCCCGAGAAGGCCCGTGTTCTCGGCTCTCGAGAACGGCATTCGATCGGGCGAGGAATCCGACGGGTGTCGACCCGCTGCCTCGCGGTGAACGGCTCCAAGAGCGAGAAATGCAGTGAGGAAAGTTAGACAGTTGTGCAGTGATACGCGAGGCAACGGGTTAACAAAAGGTTCGATCGACGCTCCGCTGGGCGTCGCGAAACGACAAACGCTCTCAGAAGTAATGATGACTTTAACGTTGAAAGAGTATATTGACGACAGTTGATAATTTATTGTGTTCCAGATGCTTCACCCATCACTGTCATTTTTACTATATCTATATCACACGTGTCATTCTTGTTACCTTTGCTTGCTACGATATATCTTATACTGCCATTCATATTTCGCAGTTGTAAAATTTAATTTGTAATGGAATCTGTTTTGCTGGAAAATTTATTGCGGAAAACGTTTGAATATATCTTCCAAAAAGCTATCTAGGTGTGTAGACTGTAACGGCGAATCCGCAATGTGGTGAGTGAAGCATCTCTGTGGGAAACGTACGAACGTTACTGGCTAACGTTTGTAACGCTCTGTAAATAATGTAGAAATAGTCACTATACTTAACGAAATATTAATTAATGTGGGAGTAACGGGGTACGTAGCATAAGAGGGGCATCGCCGTGAAGCCGTGATGACGCTTCGGGCGGAGGATTATCATTAGGATAAATGCCCTTCCACATAACTACGCAGGCTGGATCTGTACGACCACGGAATCCGCGACTACCGAAATTATTTAAGGACCCTGCTACATCAAAACTTTAAAATTATTATACAAAAATAAAAATTATTTTTCATGTGTGTACGAAATACATAATATTTATTTAATCTAACAACTATTAATTATTCTCTATTAACTTGGCTTTATTTTTCATTGCTCAATCATACTTTTAGCCAACTTTGCGACTACATTGTTGCCATATGTCTATGATTGTTGCTCATGTTTATTCAATTGTTAATTTATTTAAAGCTAGAGAAAAGATTTAACAAGATATAACAACTTTGTGAAGGTATAACATGTGGTTAATCGTGATTACAAATGGCGACGAGTTTCCCTCGACAGATCCAGGCTCTTAAAACAGTCCTTTAGTTAGGAAGTGAATTCGCGCTTGTGCCGCAAACAGCCCGAAATCGCGTGTTTATTGTTCTGTCAGCCTATACAATTAAAATCGATGAAAGTATCGAAATAATATTAGCGTGATTATCGAACTTTTTTTTTAAATAAAGACCTCGAGTACCTCGTATAATAACATCCAAATTATCGTTAATGATTAGCATTCTTCTCACGGCTACATCAACGTCATATCAATACATCAACACGCTATTTATTTTCTTCACCTTCCGTTTGCGTAATCTTTTTTCGAAATTTTCTTTGAAATCCGACGATATTCATCTGTCGTAAATTCGCGAAGGAAATTATAGCTGGCACTGAAATTATAGAAAATGCTCTAAGGAGAAAGCATATTTTTTTGAGCTTTAAGCATCTTTGTTCTTTAATTTCCATTGAGAAACTATACAATATCGTTAATAATGTTTCGTTTATTGCATTTTTATTGTGTTAATTTTTACTTTATTAATTTTGAACGTTTATTCTCTTTAGAATGATTTGTCTACATTCCTCCGGAGGGAACTCCTTCAAGTGCCACTCGCGAATTGATCTGTCTCGAAGGCACAGATAGGCTGACACGTTTATCGTTATAGTATACCGCGCTATGCATACGGCGCAACAATAGCTGTACGTTTATTCATGGTGCCTCAATTCTCTATAGAAAATACGTTTATACGCAACTCACAATTAACGCTTAATTCATTCGGTCATATATACGGTATACAGATGCAGAAACATTATACTTATCGTTAGATACGCGAGATAATCGCACACACGCGTGCGTGCCTTATACCTGTAGATAAAATTTCCCCTCCCCGGTACATTTCGCTAAATACATTCGTCAGAATCACCGAGACACGAAACACTCAAATAGCGTAATCGTGAAACGCACGTAACTGGTCGGCTTAATGCAAAAGAGATGTAGCGTATGGATTAACGAATTTTTTAGTTGGTATCGTCAACGAAAGGGAGAAATCCACTTTCCAACTATCACAAAAAATATATATATATATAAAGATAATGTAGCCATTTAACATAGAGATATTTTTTCACAAACCGTTAGTAGCTAAAATATAAAAGAAATAATTTTTTAATCCACTTCTCCTCGTTAACGTGAAAAAGAAATACCAACTGAAAAACCATCCTCTTATTTTAAATCGTAATCCTTTTGCATTGGGCTATCGAGTTGTGCGGAGAGTCCGTTGTTGTTGCTTTCTCGAGTCGGCCGTTCGCTTTCTCGCCTCGGCGAAGGAGAGAACGTTCCCTAGGATTAAAGAAGCACGATTTAGAGACCGTGCAAAAAGCCGACGCTAATCCGCGATGTGTGAGAGCGAGAGGATGTATCCTACGATACTACATCAATCGTGGCGGTCGGCTTCGGAGACTGTGACAGATACGATCTATTTGAATAGACGCGGCTTTGTGGGATAGCAAATATACGCTGTGTTTTTTAAACTATAATCGTTTTATTCTTAGTGAGAGATAGTTTAAAAGAAGATATCAAGGAGATAACGTACCTGCCGTTCAATTAAATTACGAGCACGTTGATTCTGCGTTTTTCTCGTGAGCGAATCTTTGAAGATTCGGTGGCTCGCTCATGGAGCAACAACTTAGAACAGAGTGATTTCATCGTCGACAATCAATCACGATTCATTATTCGCAGGCAATGAGGAATGCGGAATACTTAAATCGAGCTAAATCGTCTTCAGTGGAGATAATCATGATGTTTGTATTATTGCATATTGTTAAGGCTAATCAGATTAATTGCAACATGGATATATGAGAATCCGATAAATATTATAATTAAGTAGTAAATATTATAAGATTACGAAAAGGCGACAATGGCCAATTATTATGTTTTTTTAAACGTCATGTGTACTTCAGTGACGCAATGTTTGTGAACGTTGCATTTTCATAAAGTCATAAAGTATTAATCAAACTTTTAAAGACAGCTAATTATAGGCGATAATATATTACTATCTTACAAATTATTTACATGTCCATTTTTTAGGCCGTGCACTTGAAATATTTTTACTGTAGAAAATTTCACAGAAGATTTGTATGCGTTCAGAGTAATTTTTGATTTATTTTAAAAACTTTTTCCATCGACGATAGTTTATGAAGATGCAAAATTCGAAATAAGCTTTGTCTTAACTATTCACGCATATTGTTACCTATAGTTAAGTATCCAATTTTTTAAAAATTTCAGATTTTACTAAAATATTTCAGTAAAGAATCAACTAGTAAAAAAAAATCAAAATCAGATTGTTTTGACCAACTCTTCGAGCAGGTACTTCGATCGTTGTAAATATTGTAATACTGAAAATTTCCCAGTATTCACGTAGCTAGTAATATCAGTTTTCTCCCCTGTCCCCCGTGTAATTATTCATGTAACTAAACCCGTATAAATATTGTCAGTTACCATCCGTAAACATATGAGTTTTCGTGTTTTATATGAAGTATTTAAGCGAGAGTTATATATTTGTGTACGCGTAGGCACATGCAAAGCTGCTGCGGACCATTTTTCATTCGTATATTTTATTCTAAAAGTGTATTTTTAATAATAAATCGTTTTTAAAAATATCATTTCATAATTTTGACACTTCCGTTGTAGATGTATCAATCACCGTTTGCGTTTCTTTAGAAGAAACTTTACTAACCTATTTTTCAATTTTCACATAAAGAACTTCGAGCTGTGCTTAAAGATGTCCAACGTTAACTACTGCACTTCGCCGAGTGGGTGTATAATAAGTATATTTTGCAAAGAAAACGTGATGATTCTTACGTAGTTATAGCCCGCCCACGTAAAATAAGAAGGTAAGCCAGAAGGTTATAATAGGGTAGTCGGATATGAAAGTAGAAAAAAGATGTTCCTGGCAAAACGAGAACGCAAAAATGAGATGCGATTTGTAATTTAAATTATCATTATTAACACTAATAATACGGTGCTCTCATTCGGTGCATGATATTATTGAAGCAAGTTATTATTGTCATATTACGTAGAAGTCGTTATTTTACGCAAAGACCATATAAATTATGATCGTCAACTATATCGTGGAAAAGAATACATCAAATCGAACGTCACTAGTACATCGCGGTTACTAAAAAATTACTCTGAATATTTCTGCATAAACGGAATTGGATAATATTATGCACGAGGACATAAACGAAGGCAGCAGAAAGTTCGTATTAGTTGGATTACCATCATAAACTAAGCGGGAAGCAACGATATTCTCTTCAGAAAAAGATTACCAACTACAATTGGTACGCATAACTACAATACGTTTCGCATAATTCGAATTACCGAAGGTATCTCCCGAAATAAAAAGCACATATGTTTTTTAGATTAAATGAATTTATGTACAAAAAGCATTTATCTAATATATCTTATTTAAGATCAATGCGCAGTTTTGTAAACTCTAGCGCTTATGCTTATGACTATTATATTATGATACATACGCAGTCTAAAGCACGAGAATCATTTCACGAATGATTAGAAAAGCTAAATATAAAAATACCAATGTGTAATACGTATCGTTTTATATCGTGCTTATCCGTAGGAAATTTTACCTCATTAATATACTTAATCCGAGTTTCTCGTAACTATGAAGGTGTTCATTGTCGTTGATATTAACAAGTGCAAAAGTAAAAAATACGTGTATTTCTCTGTGAGAAAAACGGTGAAACACGTGTAATACTCGGCATCATACAATTAAATTTCATCATTCACTGCAAAATTTTCAAATTGTCAAAAATAAAGGATAAATTAAGGATCATTATGTAATATTGAGCTATTAACATTTTCTTAACCGTTATTATTAATTTATTATATTTTAATGTTAAAGCAATAGTTTTTCTTTTGAATTATCTCAAGTACGGCAAATGTAGTATAGGTGACTTTCAGCCATAAAGCGGTAAATGGCATGAGTCAGTCCTTCGAATAATCTTTTGTAATCAGAAAGGTGTTAACGCATTGTATTCAATATATTGCATATTGTTCAATATTTTAACTTTATACTTCTTATAATAATATTTTTTAAATTCTTCTATGGTTGCGGTCGGCAGTTTTACGGAACCGAACGCCTGTTCGTGCGGTGTTGGGATAATGCCATATAGCGACGCATATATAATATACATACATAAAATTTGCGTTTAATTAGAGTAACGTTAATGAAGACAATGGAGTTCTAGTTTCTTTTTTTTTTGTTGATAAATGAAGCTAACGGGAAGCATCACTTCCCGGAGTAGTGTGAACCGATGTTGGACGGCGGTCCTCTGTGATGATGATGATGCTTCTGTCCAGGACCGGAGTATCTACTTCCTGGTCGGGAGTGCACTATCGCGTAGTGATCGCTATTCGTCGATATCGACCTCGTGGAGTTCATGGTGGATCCCCCGGAGGCGTATCCTTGCTTTCCGTTTAACGAATACCTGAACACAAGAAGGGTCTCGTTCAGACACGCCATCGCATGCGTCATGTTGTGTAATGCAAGATATTAATTGCCGTTATCGTGACTCTGTGCGATGCTTAAAATAACGACCTTACTTAGAAAGGTCAATTCCGTCTGAGAGCAATTTAGACTTGAGATTCTTTGATCATACATATCCTTAGGGTGTTAATTTCTTCATAATCAACTATATAAAAGAGTCTATTATATGTATGCATATATAATATAAGAGTATAGTATATATACATATATATCAATTCACATCTCCGACAGCGATTTCATTAGCTCATCAATAAATAATCGATTCGAGCCACTTAAGTGGGCATCACCATGCCGCATGGTGGATGGCGCGCGATTATACGGTGCGTAATCATATATTATTGACGCAATTAATAGAGATACTTTGTCGGCGAGTCACGCGATTCGCTTTAGAGAGGTAATTAAGTCAAACCTCGACCCGTATTGAGAACCGTGCCAGCTGCGGTACGGATCATAATCCTCGATGATTGACGGCTCCTTCTCGATAATGTCGGTCCGGGTGCAGCTACAGGTCATCGCCGAACACAGGAATATGTTGATAATGAGCATGATGAGGAATAATATCCCGAGTGCCACCGCCAGCCACAGGAGCCACAGCGGGTGCACGCTGCCGTCATCGTACAATGTTTGTACAACTGCGCATGTGAAAAGACTCAGTATGTAATTTTCGTATCGCGATAGGCATTTATGTATATTATAAGTTTGTACGTGCATTGTAATGGAAATATCAACAATTACAGTATTAGAAATTCCACTCGCTCAAATAGTAATTTAATGAAAAAAAGGAAAAAGTCTATATGTAAATACATAGATGGGATAATTAAAAGGCACGCGTAAGTGGGTGAAGGATGCAATAACTTTTCAATGATAAATTCATTTTTTTTTTATAATATCTTTAACTCTAATCTATTTTAATTATCCTAAAATTATCCATAAAATTTATATCCTTCTCGTTAAAAATTGCAATTCATCCGGTATTTAGCGAGATAAGGAAATATTCACCTTGTTTCTATAAAATAAAATAATATAATTAATTCAACAACGTAAGTTCACAAGGATACCGATGATGACCGGTTATGAAAATTACAGCGTGGGACTTTGTGCCGGATGGACTAACGAAAAAGTCCAGAAGGCACGAAGTGTGATAAGCGAAATAAGATCACTTATGCCAGCTTGAGTACACATTATAATTTGTTGACAGCCTCTGGGTAAGTTGCGTGTCGAAGCGATTCAAATGCAGGTCAGAACGACGAAGAGGGACGACAGGCAACCATTTTGTGACGTGCGAGAAGAAGACATAAATGGGACATATACGCAAGAGGAGCAATAAGGGAACAGAGAAAGAAGAAGACCGCACGCATTCCCGACGTGGCTGCATACTTTTCATGTCACGACAGGTTATCAAAATTAACTGTAGAGGAAAGCGGATGCTGCAAGAAATTTCAGCGGATGTTATTCTAATTATCTTCGATCTCTTTATCAAATCGCGATCCTTGCTTATATAAAATAAATTAACCTGATTTTCGCTCGGAAAAATACAACTTCTCTTGAAAAATAATTAAACGTGCACTTTCACTTCGTACTTTCCATATAATTAAGAGTTGTTAACTCTTTCTTTGTTGACTGTGTTAGAAAATGTATTTTTGTAATGATACTATATATTTTTATAAATTTTTTATTAATATTAATAAAGAAACTTTTTTTAAAGTAAATTATAAAAAATCAAACCGCGTTCACGAGAGACAGATCAAGAATTTTATTAATTGGAAACTGACTCTTCATTTTTCTATATACGTAAGATGGATAATGATAGAAGAAAATGATACGTTAAGAATAATAATAATAATAAAAATAATATGTATTACAGTGACAATAACTGTTGATTCGATAGTGCATTTGTATGCCAAAACGGTTACCTCGTTTTTCGCCTGGTTGGAGAACGAAAACGCTCGTTCCGGCAAGTAGCACTCCTTCTTCACTACTAACACTTTGGCTGTTAGTGGAGGAGCCACCCTTTATCAGCTCTTCTTTGTCTCCTTCGCACACGGGGGTACCACAGCTCCCTAAGCATGAAAATTTTAGTTGCGTTACATCGCAACGAAAAACGTTCTGATTCTATATATTTGATTAATAGTTATACATCAAAAACTTGTCGCATTAATTCAAAGTTGTATAATCAAAAGTGTTAATAATTTATGAAAAGTAAGAAAAATGAAAAAAAAAACAGACGTTAAAAGACGACGTTATGCTTCTAAAACACTCTGCATGTAATTTATGATCAGTGCGACACTGAAACTAAATCAGCATGATGCTGATTGTTAAATCTTTTACTCTAAAAGGGTCATAACTTTTACGATTTGGAACGTAAAAAGCGATTCCTCATAAAACGAACGAGAATCGCTATCTGCATGTAATATCGCAACAAAACAACGAATCGTAAAAGTTGAATGCCATTTTATAACCCACATTCGTAACGAGATGCTAATGGGAAATCGTTCACCGGATGAGTTTTACCTCTGCACACGGCGATGTCGCATTGGAAATGCACCTCTGAACTGTCAGCAAACCGGAACATGGACAACAATGTGGCATCCGCTTTACCGGTGCTTCGATCGTATATGAATTTCGTCATTCGCACTTTCACGGGACAGCTTTGCAATCAAAACGAATCACAATTAGATCCATTGGGACAATGGGATCCATTGGGAATTTCCATTGTCGAAGCGACGCTGTGAATTAAGTAATAATAGCGAAACTGCGCGTCTTCCTTTTCAAATTTGATAATAGATCAATCCGGTCAATGAAAATAGAGTTAAGATTAATTTAAACAAACTTCTCGCAACTGAACGCTTCTCGCTATCTTTGAAGTTCTAAATCCGCTTCGACAAAGGATGAAACTTATAAGGAGACCTGAGTTCTCGTTTTGCATTATAAAGATCTTGTGGCAATAGAAGTTTTAATGGAAATACTATTTTGTGAAACTTTTCGTGGAAACCGTTCGCTTTTATTGTCACGTCGAATTGAATAAATTGATAATAGATTAACGAAAAATGCGATATTTAAAATAAAATTCCGATATTTAATAAATTGTTGCATAAAATATTTGTGTGTATCGGCAATAATTAAAAACATTTAATATTTATTTATAGCGTAGATATTGTACAAGATATTAAATTTGTTAACACAAACCACACACGGAAAAAACGATTTTGTTGAAAGGTCTAAAAATTTTGCTAAAAACAGATCTGAAAATAATTTTTTATTAAATCATTAAAATAATTAGTTGAAATGTTAAAACTGATAAGCATTGCTATAAAACGTTTTAATATTCTAGCAATCATTTTGACTTTTGCACAAAATTATTTTGATTAATGGACAAAAATTATTTTCAGATCTGGATTCAGCAAAAGTATTCTTTCCGTGTATTAATTCGAATAATATCGATTTATACGATTTATGTATCAAAGTAATAATCATATACGCTTACCCCTTGTCATCTATAAGCTGCACGCTGGAATTGAGCTTGTTGAAGAGCACACGTCTGAACTCC